TGCGGCTCCCACGGCCGGAGTTTTTTTTCCGTGTAAAATACGCATTTCTTGGTAAATTTATGAATATTTTCCTTTCGATTTTTCAGATAATTTTGTAAGCGATTTCACCTAAAGTTTCTGAAAATTTCAAGAGAAAATATTCATAACTTTCCCCAAAAATAAACATTTTATCGAAGGAAATGCGGCAACTCTCAAATGTTCGTATACGGCGTTCTTCCCTAGTACGGCAGATATTTTGTGTCACAACATGCGGTATAACGCATCGATTAGTCCCATTTGTTCAGCCATTTGGATTGAATTTTGCAAAAAGGAACCAAGAGCAATCGAATGTCGCTAAGATTGTGCCAAATGAATTTACCTTGCAAATATGAACTGTGCATCTGAACAAATATCTTTTCCCTAATAAACTGTAAATTCAAGACGAGAATTACATTGGCCAATTTACTTTTTTGCATGATTCCAGTAATTTTATCGCAAACAATGTAAGTTGCACAATCCTAGCAACATTGGAATGTTCTTGGTTCCTTTTTGCGAAATGCAATCCACTTGTCTTTTTATCGAATTTGGAGATCGCATTTCTGTCGTTACTGTGTATTTCTGCCGCGGTAAGGAAAAATATCGTATGAACCTTCAGGTGTTGCCAAAGTTCCTTTAGTAAATCTCGAATTCTTGGGGATATTTGCAAATATTTTTCTTCCAATTTTTCATACAATTTTGTTCGCAAGTACACCTAAAGTTGCTGAAAATTTCGAGGAAAAATATTTATAGCTTTCCTCAAACATAAACATTTTATCGAAGAAAATTTGGCAACTCTCGGATGTCATAAGGGCATTTTTCTCCAACACTGATAAGCCAAATATAGTGGTTACTTATTGTAAAATAAAGGAGGGCCTCCCTATGGACAGGACCTGTTCAAAGAACAACTAATAATACAACCCTTAACCTTGGATTACTCTTTCACACGGAATGTATTTTTTTAGATGAAAAGTGAGAATTTCGCACACAACCCAGCACCAACGGACGCGCTAATCTCGCTGAGATATGATATCTGACGTGAAAAAACCTGTTTTGAATATATTTTCCTATATTTCCCTCCAGATAGGCACGGCGCTGCGAGGTGCCGTTTAAACTCGAATCAGATTCGAGTTTTCCATTCGCCACGGGCCCGGGACCCATTAATCCCTTTTTAGGTGAAAATGAGTTTTTTTAGGCAGCTTTCTTTTGGAGAGGCCCCATTTTCATATTTTTGACCCAAACCTCCTCCGAATTCTTTATTTTCCACAAGATTAGACTCAGGCTTCAGATCCTTTCCCACGCCAGATTTAAAAGTGGACGATGGAAATTCATTCTACTGCGCTTTTCTGCGCTTAGAAAAAGCGCTGTATGAACATTGAACTTTCGAGAGTTGCCAAATTTCTTTCAATAAAATGTTTATTTTCGAGGAAAGTTATGAATATTTTTCCGTGAAATTTTCCGGAACTTAAGGTGAAATTGCGAACAATATTATCTGTGACTTTGGGAGCAAAATATTCATAAGTTTACCAGGAAATTCGTGTTTCATCAATTGAAATTTGGCAACGCCTGAAGGTTCATACGGCGTTCTTCCTTAGCGCGGCAGCATTGAAGCCGCAAGGATCCCTCTAAACGAAGAAAAGAACCTCGTGCGTGGAACCCGAAGTTTAGGTTATATGGATTTCTGAAGTTTTCGGATTGAGCATCTGAACACTCTAGGTCTAGCTGTCGAGGCTCGGATTACACATCTGAAACTTCAGTTTTTACATCTGAAGTACTTCAGATGTGAGGACCGAAGATTTTCGGATGTGAGAACCGAAGTTTTTTGGATGTGAGAACCGAAGTTTTTCGGATGTGAAAACCGAAGTACTTCAGATGTAAGAACTGAAGTTTCAGATGTGTGATCCAAATCTCAGCAGCTAGACCTTAAGTGTTCGGATGCTCAATCCGAAAACTTCAGAGATCCATATGACCTAAACTTCGGGTCTCACGCACGGAGTTTTTTTCTCCGTGTGGTGCAAGATTTGACTCACGTAGAGTATTGCGTCTCTCGTGATTGGGCAATTCAAATTTCCCGCAACCAATCCAAAATTAAAATGTTAATTACTTAATCAGGAGTTGCTTTCAGTAATTTTTGATGCAAGAATCTTGTTCTGCGTGAAATTATGTTTACAAAACTTGTATCAGAATGAATGAATTCGTACCTTGTCTATTAGTCCATTGTCGCACAGTTGATAGAGTCAATTCGAAAGGTCGGACATAAAGTTTTTGAAAAAAACTACGAATTTTGATGTTTAGTTCGTCACATTTTAAAGTTCAAGGGGTTGTCCTAGAAGAAAATTTTACAAGGAAACCAATGGAACCACTTTTAGAACCTCACAGTTTCGTATAAACGGAGTTTTAAGCCTGTAAGGTTTCCAAATTTTGTCCGACCACTTCTATTGACTCGATCCACTGTGTGTCGGTCAGGCGGCATCGTTCTTTAGCCCTCGATAAGAGTAAGAACTTAATCGCAAATTCCTGACTAATGTAAAAGCTTTATTGGAACTGATTGGTACGAAAGAAATTATGATATCTATAGAGATTTGGGGATGAAGACTGCCTTACAATTTATAACTAAAGTTGCTACAAACTACGAGAAATGTCTCCATCGCCACCCTTATATTGAGGCAATTCAACTACTAGACAATTCCAAAGAATACAGACGCCTCAAAAGGATGAAACCGTGGGAACTGGCCAGCCCCTTGATTTGAACCAATAACCTTAGTACTTTTTATTGTTTTTGTATTTAGATAAGTTACAAACTACTCGGTTGTTTGTATTTTCTACCTTTATTTAAATTTAGAAACAAAGTGCATTTTTTCATTGTGAAAGCTCACTTGATACTAATTAAAAACAAGTTGGTTTTTGCAATCGCTAGCGATAGCAATATTCGTCATGGGAACTTTTGCTTCTGGGATATGAAAATTTTAAGGTACAGTTCGTTTGTAGTATCTTCAGAATTGAAGGGGCTATGTAATTTTGTGTCGACATCTCTTTTTTAACATTTTTAATTTTTTTTCTTTGCATACAAGAAAGCTGTTATTTACCAATTATTTATTTTCGTTGGATTATGTATGGTTTTTGGAAGTTAACGCATTTAACTTTCAGTTTCGTTTTTTCGGCGTAAAGTATGATATTTTTACTCTACGCATATGCCCGAATACGCATCATAACGACGGTGAAACTACCAAACCACGTATCTCGTTTGCGGTGTTTAAAAATCTCCGCTCACATTTTATTTTTTTGAAGTAGACCAAATCAATATCATTCCTTGAAATTTTCACAGAATTTTCTCCGCACGAAGAGGAAAAATCACGGAAATTTTCAAGACTGGACGTTAAGTAGCTTTTCATTTAAAAAATAAAGTATGACAGGAAGTCTGCGACGTCGCAAACCGAGATACGTGGTTTGGTAGTTTCACCGTCGATAAGTGACCTATGTGCTTCCTAAGTTGCCATTTTTTTCATTCAAATAGATGTAACCGAAATGTTAGATGTGTACTACCTATACTACTTTCATGTCATTGCTTTATTTATTTATTTACTTTTTGCGTAGGTATAAATTGTTATTTTTTGCTGAATTTTGGAGAAAATATTGCTTTAAGAACGTGGAATGTAAATTAATTTTATTGAAAAAAGAAAATACCATCATTAATTTGGGCGAACAGAGAAAATATACATCAATATTTGGGTCAACATCTCCCTGATTATATAAAGGATGAATATATTAGTATTTCTGTATCAAAAAACTTAGCTTTTGTCTTCAGAGATACAATGATTCTAGTCCCAGTCAATTTGTTTTATTGAAAAAACAAAAAAACAAAAAAAAAAAAAAAAAAAAAACAACTGAAATGTTAGACATACTATTTTCATGTCTTTCTATTTGTATCAATAGGTACTTTTTGCTTAACTTACGAACGTTGAATGCAAATTAACTTTATTGAAAAAAGAAAATAACGTCATTAATTTGGGGGAACATGTGGCTGATTATATGAAGAAGGTATATTCCAGTATTTTTGTTTAACATATTAACTCACGAGAAAATGTTCGTACATTTATCATCTACTATTAATTATTTTTTGATGATTAGTCTAAAACATTCAATACAACCATTAAAAAGTAGTTCCCATCGTCGGGTATCGAACTCCCGATCGCCGGGTGCCCGCACCGAATCAAAAATACGAGGCGGTTTAGTCAACTAGGCTATAATGGATCCACGTGGGCGAGAGTAAAAATAGCATACAAAAGACTCGGGCAATGGGCGGGACTTATCACAAGAGACCTTGACTGCTTTTGGGATGATATGAAGCGCATTGCTGTATTGCTGTAGGAGCCATGGTTCGCACTGTTTTAATGCGTCTCGAGGTTCATCCCAGCACGCATTCCGATCGCGGCAGTTGAGCTAAGGCAATATTTGCGTATCCATGAATTAAATCAATCAATCGAGCTCTGATTTTGACTTCTTTATCCGTAACGAGTCCTCCAGAACAATTTTCCACCTTGTACGATGGTTATTATTTCTTTACTTCTATTTTTCAAATTTGAGGTGGGATAATGGCGGCTTCTCAAGAGCACCGAGGTAGGCGATCTTTTGCACCAACGAACAGAAAACTGATGGCGAAAAATAACCAATCAGAACCTCCCAAAAAAAAGAATTTGCCTAAAAACGGAACTTCGTGGTTCTGCGCAGATTTACCAGTCAGACACGACATCTCAAGGTGGAAAAAAACTCGCTGAAAGCGAATTTTAGCAATCAACACAACTTGACGTAGAGACATGATTGGCTAAAAAATACAACGGTTTTTGATACATCGGAAAATCAACCAAAAATCGAACACTGGGCGAAACGCTCAAGGTCGCAGAGGTATAGGGAATCCCATAGCGAAAGCAACGGAACGATTCTAATATCATGGGGAACTCCGTTCCCATGACAAAAGAAAAAAAAGAAACCGATTCACAAGTTCAAAGCTCTGACTATAGACTCGAGTTTTTTCGCCTTGAATGACACAGTTTCCAGGTCCAAGCATTGAAATGAACATCCGTACACCTCCGAGCCGCACTTGTTGCAATTGGCCGGCTCGTTGGCCTCGTTGCACGCTTTCTGGTACTCGTCGTTGATTTGGTGCAACCGGTTGAATATTTTAAGCGCATCCGCGCAGTTCTGCTCCGCCAGCTTGGCATTGAAGCTCGGATGCTCGTCTCGCTTGTTGTCGCGCTTCAGTCTGCACTCGTCATTCTCCGCATGTTGCTTCAGTTTTGCCCTTAGATCTCTTTCTCCCTCCTGAAAAAAAGAGAAAAAAATCCATGAAACCCAATGGACCACTTCACAAGGTACTCCTTTCGGAGATATTCAATAGTTTTTGACGCGTGAATTCAAACCACCCGCTCATGAAAAACTCAATGCTCTACGTGATTCACATCGCGCGCTAAACGTTTATCATAACAGTCTCTGCGATATAAAAATCCGGCAACCTCAATCTTGACGCTTTGGCTCAGCTGTAGCAACTCTAATAGCATAATTCTTGAAGCACCGCTCCAAAATAGATAAAGGGAGCCATCAACATGGGAATAGATCAAGGGAAAAGACGCGCTTTCATGACGGCGCAGAGATACAATTGTTCATGTTTGATGGATGTCCGTGTTGCATATGCAAAATTGAAGGCGCGATGGCGCGAGCGCGAGGCGTGAACTCGCAATACTCCGACGTCGCTCAGAATCGGGAGAGAAAAGTATACTAACGAGGCCCAATGAACCAGTAGATAAGTTGCGAATTTCAGCATTCTGATACATGTTCCTTAGCTAAAATTTCACGTAAAATACGACGCGCACAACGAAAATTACCGAAATCAACTCCTTCCAAAGACATATAATGATTCTTGATGCGTGAATTCAAATCACCCGCTCAAAAAACTCGCGCTATTCGCTCGAGAGATAACTATCCTAACTTCCAGGAAGCGAAATTGCCTACACAAGAAACTGAAGGCGTTTAAAGATGCATCACTGATGCGGGTCTGTTGAAAATCAAAAGCGATTATCTCTGGTAATTTGACTCAAAAAATACGCAATAAATCACCACACAATCCACTCACCTGGTACTTCCAGAATATTGAATAAAAGAACTGAGAAAAAAGAGAATGGACCACTAGACAAGGTATGAATTTCAGCATTCTGATATATTCTTCTTAACCAAAATTTTACGTAGAACACAATGCGCACAACGAAAATTACCGAAATACCTTCCAAAGATATTTAATGATTCTTGATGCGTGAATTCAAATCACCCGTTCTTGAAAACTCAATGCTCTACGTGACTCATACGTCGCGCGCTAAACGTTTATCATGACAGTCTCTGCGATATAAAAATCCGGCAACCTCAATCTTTACGCTTTGGCTCAGCTGTAGCAAATTGCCTGTAGTTTGAATAACAAATGGTGGGAAATGAACATTACTCGATTGAGAAGCTTGTTGAAACCGTTGTAGTACGCAATTTGACTCACGTAGAGCTTTGAGTTTCTTGTGAGCGAGCAGTCCAAATTCCTCGTAACCAATGTGAAATAAAAATATTAATATCTCCGTTAGGAGTCGGTTTCAGTAATTTTCGTTGCGTGAATCGTGCTCTACGTGAAATTCAGGTGAAGAAACATGAATCAGAATGCTAAAATTCGTACTTTGTCTAGTAGTCCATTGATCACTGTCAGTGCTCAAAATTCGTTTAAGGTAAAACAGCTTTTGAATTAATGCGAAATCAAGGCACCGATACTCACCGATGCGACAATCGCGATGTTACAAAGTAATAGGGCAGCACCGATTATGAGGTGAAATAGGTGCATTGCGACAGGTGTTCAATAACTGACTTCCGGTCGAGGATCCAACGCGCGTAAAAGTATTCAGGCGGGAATGAAGAGAAATAAGTTGAGATGGTATTTATACGAAAAAATAATGGGCTGTTAAAACAAAAAATCTAGATCAATTTAGTATTTAATTTAAAAAATTGACCGATTTAGCTTAACCTGGAATCTTAGTATTTACATTTATAAAGATGATCGTTATTAAATGGAAGTCACGTCACATAGAATGAGTTCGTCGCCAGTGTTCGAAACTCACAGGCGCCAACGCGCCAAATGTGCCTAAAAAATCGGCCATGGCGCCTAAAAATGATGGCTCTGCGCCAACGTGGCCCCTAAAATTGCCCCCTAAAAATCTGAATTTTCATATTAGGTGATTATTCGAAATTTTCAGCACTACAGGTGAAAGCTTTTCCTATTCTTCACGATTTCATCCTTAGTGCTTTTGTCTTCCCTAAGTAACAGCTACTTACTAGTTCTGTTACGGAAACATATTGCGTGTAACTTTTCACGAAATGCACCGTAATATAGAGGCAAAAAGTCAATTTGGCCCCTAAAAAATCTTCAATGGCGCCTAAAAATCGGGCTGGATGCGCCACATGGCTCCTGAAACTCAAAGGTGAGTTTGGAACACTGGTCAGTGCTCAAAATTCGTTTAAGGTAAAACAGCTTCTGAATTAATACAAAATCAAGGCACCGATACTCACCGATGCGACAATCGCGATGTTACAAAGTAATAGGGCAGTACCGATTACGAGATGAAATAGGTGCATCGCGACAGGTGTTCAATAACTGACTTCCGGTCGAGGATCCAACGCGCGTAAAAGTATTTAGGCGGGAATGAAGAGAAATAAGTTGAGATGGTATTTATACGAAAAAATAATGGGCTGTTGAAATAAAGAATTTAGATCAATTTAGTATTTAATTTAAAAAATTAACCGATTTAGCTTAACCTGGAATCTTATTATTTACATTTATACAGGTGTTCGTCATTATATGGAAGTCACGTTGCATACAATAAGTTCGTCGCAAACTTTTGCCGGGAGGAAAAAAAAATGAGTTGATTCTCGTGGAACGATCATAAACCGCGTTGAGCACATCGGGAAAGTCTAAATTTCACTCTTAGCAGAAAATGTCTAAGAGACCCCACGGCTTTAAGTATCAAGGAAAGCAGCATCGCAATAATCCTAAATTAATTCAAAATATGTGCACGTACAGTTCAATAATGTGTTTATTGTCTCCGTCTCTACGAAAGAGAGTCCGTAATACTGCCGTGATAGCGAAGAGAGCCGTAAGTGCAAAATTTTCGAAATCGAGTTTTCTTCAAAATTCGTTTAAACTCTTTTAGATGAAATTACTGATTGTGAGACAGCTAAAACAGCAAAATTCATCCTAATGTAATGAATTCGAGACGTATGAGAAAGCCGTAAGTGCTAATGCCGTAAAGAATGACATAGTTTTTTTCAAGACCGCCGCAGGTGCATGAGAGCCAATGAAAACAGTGCTTTCCAAAAAGCCTCCTCTGCCAATTTCTAACCTGAAAATGTGTTTGTTGTGCGTCCAAAACCCAACCACGAAAGCATGCAGAAGATAGCACTTACGGCTGTCTTGCCTAACAATAACCTAGCATGAAAATGAAAAATACCCTTTTTATGTAATGGAAATCAAATCAGTTGATTTTTAATCATCCGTACGATTTCCAAGAGTCTTCCGGATGATTAGTGGCAATTTGACAAAGAACGGAGGCTTCTTTCAATAAAATGTTCCGGTCAGAAGCTTCTGAGACCGTTTTCTCAGAACTTCATTTTTGCACTTACGGCTCTTTTCGCTATCACGGCAGAATAGACCACTACACACAATGGCGATTCTTGAAAGTTGGTAACACTGTTTTTCCTTTCGTTTAATTGTAGAGGTCCAGTTACACGATCAAATTAAGCCGTCAAACTGAAGCTCTGATTGGTGGAAAAAGACCTGAGGTGAGGATGCGACCAATGAGAGGCCCAATTTGATGGCTCAATTTGATCGTGTAACTGGACCTTATGTAAAAGAATCTACTCTTCGGGCGACTTTATGTTCGATCCAATTTCCGTCCGTTGCGATTATTTACGTTATTTTGACACAGCCTTGTTAGCTTAGAGCTTCATCGTTATACATCGCAAGTATTGATTCAGGTGATCGGAGTCATCAGAACAAAGATTATTAGTAGCGGGATTTGAAAAACCAATGCACATACTCTATTGTGGACTTTATTTTTCAAGTAAACTGCTCTACTTAAAAAACACAACATGGCACAAATTTAAATAGATTTACTTATCAGTGACTGCGTGAGCGCACATGTTTGTATTGCGCTTGCACTTGTCGAATCAGAACAAGTAAGTTTGTGTATACCTGCTCGGCGGAAAAACATTTACAGAAAGTTTTTGGATAGTTTAATAGTCATAAATTATGGTTAGATTGAAACCGTGTTTTTGAAATTTTGGTTTTTACAGAATCGAGAATATTCGTGCTCCGGCTTTCAAATTTTCAGGGATTAAGGCCGAGTAGAATCTGTCTCGGCAGATCCACTCGTCTGCAGTTCCGTGACAAGGACCCCGCACACCTTTTTTGGGAAGCTGCACCATGGAGGAACTTAAATTTATTTATGTTATTCGATTCTCTTCAAGATGCTGATCAAAAGTCATAATTGCGCCAACTTTTTACGATGCACCGTTTTCGCAAAAAACCGCCGAGAGGATTCAATTTTTCGGCGACAATGAATAAAAAAGAAGCGCATTTGAGAACAGGCCCGATGTAAAAAGGAAAAAACGTAGCGCGTGGCCGTCTTCTTCTCTGTACCTGCCGACTCTAGGGCTATCCCTCTCCTCCCACTCTTGACGCGTCCGCTCGACGTTCACTGACACACAGCCGCTTGTCAATCGAGTACTGAAATGAGAAATCTTTCTGGCTTTTTGTCGCCGAATAATTGAATTTTCTCGGCGGTTTTCTGCGGCGAAAACGGTGCATCGTAGAAAGTTTTTACGCACTTTATCTAACCAAATAGTACCCGCTGGATTCTCTTATTATAATTACCCGGTGAGTTTTTGGACTACCGCCCTCTTCATGTGCCGTAGCATCTTGATTTATTTTGCGAGGGAATCTCCGTACTTTTAAAGGATGCCTGTCATTCTTAAAATTTTGGAACGCCTTCAATTTCGTATGATACTGTGCAACACCTCTGTTGTGAAATGGTTGCTTGAAGCGCCGCGGCTGCCGAGGGCGACCAGCGTGACACGCGCATTGGCGCCTACAAACCTAACAGGGATACTTCACGCATTGCGCAATGCGTGAAGTATCCCAGTTAGGTTTGTAGGCGCCAGTGCGCGTGTCGCGCTGGCATCACGCCGCGTGCCGCTCCGCTCTGTGTTCGGCTCTAATATTTAAACTCGCGGAGTCAGCGTTTTTCAACTCATGATTTTGAAAAGTTTGCTCACTCCGCATGGATTATTATCATTAAAATTCATGAAAAAAAAATATGTTTTAAAGGGATAATATACTGCATTTTTTGTAAATATTAAAGTGGTTCCGTGTCATTTTTAATGATTTCCAAAGCATATTATTTTTTTGTTTCAAATTTTGCGCTTTTGCTGTTTTGCAGCTTGGTATATGCGGAACAAAACGCTCAAAATTTGCGGCGAAAACGGTGCATCGTAGAAAGTTGGCGCAATTATAACTTTTGATCAGCATCCTGAGGAGAATCGAATGACATAAATAAATTAACGTTCCTTCATGGTGCAGCTTCCCATAAGAAGTGTGCGGGGTCCTTTGTTGTCCATACATTTGTTGTGTTGGTTGAGTTGTCCATACTCTCCGTATAAAGATACTCTAATGCGGGCCTTAGAGGGTGCGGAGCGCTCTTCGGGGGTCGAGCCGCGTAACAGCCAGGGGGCGCAGCCTCCTAGTGAAAACTATTTAAAACACTAATCCAACGCATTTGCTTAATCTCGGCTAATTAAACTGCAGCCTTTCGACGGGAGCTCCAGACTGATCGTCTGCGAAGCACCGTTTACAAGCCCTCGTCGCTGCCAGCACACAAACACAATCCCGAGTAATTATTCCTCGTGTGTGTGTGTTCGTGCAACAGGGCTCTCAAGCATTACACCGGCTCCCTTTTACCCCCACCCCCCTCTCCCTCGCTCTCCCCGCGGCTGGCGCCAACGCTCTCCCGATGTCTGTCGTCGCGAGCGCCTTTTCAAAGTCGTCATTTTTCTTCCCCATTTTACCCCCCGCCCCCTTCGGGCCCCTCCATCCGGCTTTATTTCTCCCGGTTCGCTTTTTTTCGCGGACAATCACTTTAAGCGGAGTTGAATTGATGACTCGCGAAATCCACCTCCTGCGGCGTTGCCGGGTGGGGAGTTAAGTCACGTAAGAATGGACCACCGAACAGGGGGACAACCGCATTACATTTTGGAATGAGGAACAACATGTATGCAGGGTGTCTAGCATCAGGAAAAACCGGAAAATATCAGGAATTTTGGCCGATCAGGGAAAAATCAGGAAAATCGGAGAATCGGACGTTTTATCAGGAATTTTTCTCTCGCAAATCTCCTCAGCGGAGAAAGTCTTACTGCTATTTGCCTACCGTGCCAGGAGTTGAGAAAAATCAGGAAAATATCAGGAATTTTCAAAATGAAAAAATCAAGAAAAATCAGGAAAATATCAGGATTTTTCAAAATTAAAAAATACTAGACACCTTGGTATGCCATTGCAGGATGTCTACAAGTTCGGAATTTCCGGAAAATCCGAAAATAGTACTGATTTTGTAAGGGCGGTCCGGAAGTACTGAAAAAGTGCGGAAATTCCGCACAAAGGCTCAGAATTTTTTCATCTCTTTGTCATTTTTGTCGCAATTAGAGCGAAAAATAAGGTACTGAATTTTTCTGTTTAGGAGGTACTGAATTTCCTGGGAATGTCCTAAAAAGTCACTGTACTGATTTTTAGCCAGCTTGTTTTAGTAGACACCGTGTATTGGTATTATCAGAAAGGTGATTTATGAAAGAGGTAGAGATAGTGGTTCCGTATTGCAAAATGCAATCCATCTGGTCCGAACCAAAGAGAAAGTAGAATAGGCCTGTCGCAAACTTCAGGCAGAGCAAAAAGAAGGGTAGTTTTGTCTAATAAATTGTTCAAAAATTACGATGAGCGCATTACGAACGTCTGATATAACACTCCTAACTTCACAATCTGCGTAAGAAATATGCGTTTTTTAAGCTTTCTGCCGCAAAATCGATAGTGCGGCACGTATCATCCTAGTGTGCAAGGGCCGGATGGAACACCTCCTCTTCCGAAGTGTTCGAATGTCCCGAAGTATCGTTTCTGAAGCTGGAAGCTTTAAAAAAACCACATTTCTCACGCAGATTGTGCAGTTCGAAGTGTACTTCAAACTTTCCCGATGCGCTCATCGTGATTTTGAGCCATTTTCTATAAGAGGTAACTTTTTTTTTTTCTCCCGCTAAAGTTTGCTACAGGCCCACTGGCTAATCGTATAAACCACTTTACGGGCTGATTATTGAAAGTGATAGATAATGCGATAGTCTAAGGAGACCTAGGGAGTCCGGAGCGATCCTATAGGTTGAAATAGGTGGTTCCTGTAGACTTAAGGGAAAAAATTAAGGACTGACTATAGGGTCTCTCGTAGGTTGCCGTTACTTGAGCGATTATCTACTTTTTTTGTCCATTGCAACCACCCTAATCCCTGCGTATCCTTTTATCTTCTTTATCTATAGCTTTCTCTATCAATTTCAAAATTTAGCCCGCAGGAGTGCTTTTAATTCATGTTTACTTTTTTAATCTCTCGA